GCAAGCAAGCAATGTCCTTTCAATCTTATCTCATCTTTGTTACTACTAACATATTTGACATTTTTATCGATCTCAGATTTAGTTTTCTTAGCTTTAGCAACATCATCACGCACAATAGCTTCAGGAGTCATAGGAAGCAAAACAATTTTCTTATCATGGTGTATGAGAGAATACATATTTGATCTACCATGATGCATACAATCTGTATCAAATTGCCATGGTCTACCTAGCATAATATGACAAGCTTCCATAGGCACAACATCACACTCAACAACATCATGATATGATCCAATAGCAAAATGAATTCGTACCAATCTTGTTACCTTAACCTTACCACTATTGTTGAGCCATCGAATGTGATATCGATGTGGGTGCGGTTTGGTTGTAAGTGTAAGCTTCTCTACCATATCGCTGCTAGCTAAGTTGTTGCAGCTACCTCCATCAATTATCAAACGGCACGAACGCTCTTTAATGACACACTTTGTTTGGAACAGTGTATGCCGCTGATTTTTCTCCGCCTTCTCCATTTGTGCGCTAAGCACGCGCTGCACAATGAGGCTCTCATAATGATCTGCATCCTCTGCTCCAATCTGCTCTTCTGGTTGTTCCTCACTTCCTACATGGTCAGCAGCAAGCAAAGCAAGTGTATCTTCATCAAAATCACTAGCAGAGGAATACTCACCATCATCTTTGATGACCATAACATGCTTGCTTGGACAGTCACGCATCACATGTCCACATCCCTTGCACCGGTGACACTGAACGTCTCTTGTTCTACCTGTAGATGCCATGGATGAAGCACTCGCAGCAGGCTTCTGGGTTGTCTTCGCCACTAAATTTGCAGAAGGAGCATGAGGTTTGTCGCTGGATGATGGCATAGGAGCACGTGTAGTTGGAGTAGTAGTCGTGCGGGGCTGCCATGAATTAGTTTTCCCTGTAGAAATATTATTCTTCGCACTAGCACGTCGCCCCTGCACTTCCCTTTCAGCTTTACAAGCAAGATGAAACAAACGGGTTACGTTAGTGTATTCTTTATACACAAGGATGTCCTGAATTTCATGATTTAACCCACCCAAGAGTCTTGCCATAGCAGGTTCCTCATCCTCATCTAAATTACAATGCAACATACCCATTTGCAATTCTTGATAATATTCTTCTACACTTTTAGCACCCTGTCTCAGTTGTTGCAATTTATTTAACAAATCACGTGCATAGTAAGAAAGAACAAATCTGGCCCTCATGATTCGTTTCAAAGTATTCCAAGTTCGTGGTATGTTATTAGGATTTTTCTTGCCATATTCTATCCACCAAACAGTAGCAAAATCAGTAAACTCACTAGTAGCAGCCCTAACACGTGTATTCTTAGGAAATTCATGACATGCAAACTTTTGATCAACAGCAATTTCCCAAGTAATATATGCATCAGGATCATATTTACCATCAAAAGGAGGTATCTTAAAATTTATCTTACTGAAAGCATCATTATTATTGGGTACCTCACGTCAGCGGTGACCACCCATACCTCTACGATTATGGCATAGGCGACGGCGGTCACGAGTGTCATGAGCATCATGTTCAATATCAGCAGTATAATCATCATCATAATTATCTTCGAGTCGCTCTTTGTCCTTGTTGTCATCAAAACACTTCAGAAGAGCAGCAAGGCTTCTGTCCATACGGGCAACAGATGCCTCCAATCCTTTAAGCTTGGTGGTGGTGGCAAGTTGGGTGGCCTCCAATTGCCTAATCTTGTCATTGGTCACCTGTAAATCTTGATCAAGTCCTATATGCAGCTGCACTTGCCTTGTAAAATGTTGAATAATGCCCTTGGTGCGAGGAGATTGTGGCCTCTTGTTAACATCCTCTGATCCTGATATGGTTTAAAAGACAAGGGCAACAAGAAAACAGGTGAAGAAATTAAAGCCCTACAGCTATTAGGATGTAGCTACTGCAAGGTGCTCACTCTCAACCTGTTACAAAAGCTCTTACCAATTCTTACCTTGCTCAATAGGAGGGAACGACAACCAACAAGTCTACAACCGTGGAATGAAGTGTATCGGTGCCGCAACAACAACACCTGTCAAGCTGTAGTTGAAATATGTGGAGCTATAGGTGGGCTGAAGCAAGGAAGTACTAGCACCACGTTAGTCACAAAAGCAAGCTGAATAATTGTTCAACGGTGGTACTGTGCTAGTCCTAGCCTAGACCGTGCTAGAGGCGCGAGCCTAGGCACAAAGGAGGTCACAACACACCACCGAAAACAATGGAGAAGCACAACGAACAGCCCCCTTTTTTTCTTTTTTCCTATTTTTTTTTTTTTTTTTTTTTTTTCTGTTTTCCTTTTTTTCCAGGGGATCCTCAAATCTGATTATATAAACAAAAAGACTTCACAGGAGTCACACACCACACAAACTTTTTCCGAAGGACAGGGGTATTCCGGTAAAAAAACGTTTATCTTGACGTGGAGAGTTTGAGTATAAGTAGGACTACTGCTGCACAAAGATGTCCTCAAATTCGGACTCACAATAGCAACCAAGTAGCTGTCAATTCGGACTAAAAACCGATTCCAACTCAAACTCAACACCACGTGGGATTCGGTCTCAAACTCAGATTCCTACTCGGTCTTGAACACAAGGATGTATTCGGATTCAGCCAACAGAAGGTTTATATGTTAGCACACGGCTGTGACTAGAACGTGATAAGAACTCGAAACTCTAAAGGACAAAAACTAAGACCAGCAACTCGACACAACCGATGTAGCCGACGACTCAACAAGCCCTAACTAATCTACTATATTTTTTTTGGCTTTTCTGGACTATAGGAAAAACTAGAACAACAAAGGATTGGAAGACTCTCACCGATAAACCTTACTCTGATTACCAAATGATATGATCCCGCTAGGGTTTGTTCCTGATCTTTCGATGAGAGGTATGGGATAACTCAATTGATGGGTGGAGACGACGTTCATGGCCCGACTATAGCCTTCCAAGCTGCGCCTTAGCAACCGATACACCACCTCCAATGGTTGCCGCGATCTTGTGGAGCGCGTCACACGGCCACTAGGGCACTCGTCCTGCAAGCAATCGAAGAACTAGTAAAAACAAGTATAGCAAGTACTGAATTACTAGATGTAGATAAAAGTTTCAAAATCAATCTCAATTAAGGTGGGGTTCCGAAGACAAGAAGACGGGCGGCTGATCCAGCACGCGCGCTTACAAGCAAGTAGTGAGAGCTAAACTTGATCTAAAAAAACCTAACTATTCTTGGTGGTGGCTAAGGAGTATATGAAGGTGGAAGGACGACCACCAGGGTGTTGGGGTCATCCTCCAACCCTAGGATGCGTCCCTAATGGACCCAACTTGATACACGGCCCATTGGACCAAACTAAGGTGACGCAACACCTTTGGACAGACAAGCTCTCAGTTGTAATTCAGTCATTGCGGCCGCCTAAAAAATAGATATGGACTTGATTCGGATCCATATAAAAATAGACTTCATAAGGATTCCATGAAGTACTTGAACGCCCCAATCCGAGTCCATATGCGACCGTGATGACCATCACAAGTTGGAGCTGTCCTGGAGTCCGAATTCAGCCTCTGCGAATCCTTGTCCCTTTCGGTCCTCTCCCTGGTTCCTAACCAAAACAAGAGTGCACGCGCATCTCCATGGTCTAAATATGATGGACAGGAACTCAAGAGTGAACTTACTTGATGATTAATGTGACGAGCACGGGCGCGAGTAATAGGACCAGAAACTGGTACTCGTGTCGGCGTGGATGTATCGTTGGTGTTGATGTCCTCATCACGGATCATCCCCATGGACCATCCGGTGATGTGACGGATCGTCCGTCAAAGCAGCTGACAGAATAATGATATACTATGCTACACACATATGTTATATATACATGTAACCTAAACATAGAACACCAATGCATATCATGTCATTTACTCATGCACTGTAATCATGTTGCATCATGCAATCATTAGGTGACAAGGGCTCCGAGGAGGTCCAACTTGAGGAGACTCAAACCATTGAAGTTGTTGACGAAACCCCAACAGATCAGTCTCAAGGTAGGTCCCTATGCATCCCTCTCTTTGCTAAAATGCACAAGTTGATTATGTTAAGTATTGCATTGATATGTTACTGTATGACTATAACTATTGGTGAAAATCATTTCCACAATCGACTTGTATTACAAACCTTGCTGATATTTTATGGAAAGAGGTTTTTAATGAACCATTGTGGAAACTGCTGTTGCAAAAATGTTTTCTATAAGGTGATCGATTTGGTGGATAAGTGGAGCAAAGCCTTTATGATCATGGACGGACCTATGGGTACGTATCCAAGCACGAGGGTTGGAGATGGAAGTGGCCAAAGGGCACAGGGAAATTATATATATGTTAGTGGACTGAGTACTAACAATGCTCCTAAAAATTGGCCCATCACTACTGGAATCTCTCTTTTTTCTGTGTGTGCGAAAACACACAGAAAAATACGAATACCGTCAGAAAAATATTTTTCTGACGGTGTACCTCTAAAAATACCCACAGAAATATAATGACAGAAAAATCCAATTTTTCTGTGGGTTCACCGTCAGAAACAATTTTTCTGTGGGTCTCACACGCACAGAAAAATTGTGTTCGCCCAGATTAAAACTAATTTTTCTATGTGTTAATCCACACAGAAAAAAGAAATAAACGCACAAAAAACACATGTTTTTTTCTATCGGTCTAGGTGAACTCACAGAAAAATTCATTTCGCCCAGATTAAAAAAATATTTCTGTGTAGCTAGCCTCACTGGAAAAAAGAGTTAAACACACAAAAAAAATTATTTTCAAACAGTAGCAACAACATATTAAAATATATATTTTCCATACAGTCATCTACATGTTCAACATGAATACTACAATGAATTCACAAATATGGATATCGAAAAAGAAACCAAACTATTTTTTCTTGTTCAACCAGTGAAAAGTTCACAAAGGAAGTGGAGGGCAAATTCACTGCACCATGGGATCAGGGTTCCCAGCAGCAAGAATATCAAGCAAAGAGTTATGGGGCTCCAGCTCATCGTGCCACAGTGGTAGCTTGTCGCCAGGATAAAAGTTCCTCTTCACGCCATCGACATTTATCTGCAGTGCAACCAAATTGAGTTTATTTTAAACTAAAAAAAGGTTTAAGCCAAGAGAACACAAGCATACGAAATGGCAGTAAGAGATAAGTATAGGCAAAACACAAACACAGATTGCAGGTCGTCACTGCATTCTTGCAGACTGAACATAATTTTTTTACAATGTAAACCTCAAGAAAATGAAAATTGAGCAAATAGATAGAATTCACTGAGTGGATGTGGTTTATGAATCAAGTAACAGAAGAGTAAACAGCATGGAGTCTAGCACCATTGAGATAAGGCTACTACAGTATTATAAACCTGACACATTACAGAGCACACAGAGTATTGCATCATACATTTTCCTCTCACAGATAGATCACAGCCTATCACATGAAAAGTATAGCGTACCTTTTGCAAAACAAAACTATCATGCACAGAAGAAACCACAGTAGACCTATAAGTAGACCCACCACCACTGCACCAAAAATCGCCACATTATCATATACCAGCTATGTTTCTAATGAAGAAGTCCTGCAAGCTATCAGGAATAAGACAAAACAGCATGAACATCAACTAAGAGCAAAAATGAAGTGCACAGAGTAATCTTACATGACAAGAGCAAAAGAACTCGAGAAATGGCTCAGATTTACCCATTATCAGCATGACAACTGCAACTTAATTTCACCTAAAACTTAATTTAATTCTCTCTCTCTAATGGGAATTGAACTGGCCACAGAACTGGTTGCTTGTACTGGTACAAGCCATCCTAGTTAAGCAGCAAACAGAACAAAATATCCCAAGTACCAGCTCATAAGGTGCTAAAGTGCAGAAGTTCTCTAATGGAAATTTGATTCATCACAGCCACTCAAGAGTAGTACAAAACAAAAAAAGTCACAAGGCATAGTTAGGGAAGGGGAGAGCAGCGCGGCACGAGACAGGGGTTTCATATCATCTCAGCCCCACAAATATCACATATCAAAATAATTGATCAGGTTGATATATGCAAGATATTCAAGATATTGTTTTCATAGCATTATACCTGAAAAGCAACCAGGGTAACAAAACAAACAAGTTAAAATTGTATTTTAACTTTGCAGTGAAATCTTCTTATTATATTGCTCCCTCAAATTCAAATATAATGACATTATTTTAGTGGTCCATCCATGTATATTTCTTACATTACAGTAAATTATGTTAGTATAGTTCTACTTGTGATTTTCAAAGATGTCAAGTTACTGATAAAAGACAATGAAGAGCGCCCATTTGGATTTTCAAAGATATATGTTCAAGAAATATTTGATGCACTACTAATCGTGAATTATGTTAGTACAGAAAATTCACATCAAACTGACATCAATCCAAGGTATGGAAAATTCAGAGATAAGCATTTTCTCTACAAAGTTAGGCAGTCTAGTTCCAGCAAAGAATGAAATATGATGCTGATTCATCGTCAGATCAGAGTCATCTAAATAAAAAGCTGGACAACTTCTCAACAAACCGACTGCACCTTTATCAAGTAGTTACTAGAAAATTTTCAGAGCTCTATCATTGCCCAAGACTACTTATAGACAATCCTAGATTAGTTAATTTTGTGTTCCATCTCTAGCAAGTTTAGTCATTTTTCACTTTAGGAGTTCAATAGACAAAAAATATTTGCACATACAGATAGCTAGCAGCTTGGCATACATATGATTAAAAGTTAATATCAATTTACATAATCTGGTTTACAAGAGCAAGTGATTGCAACAATTCCAGAACAAAAATGTTTTGATTCATGGGTATTGGGCAGTGTATTTCTTACTTCTTACCTGAGCATCTCCAGTTCAAATATATTCTACAAAGCTTAGAGAATGCAAATAGATAGGACACCATCAGCTAAAGCAAGAGCAGCAAACAATATCCACAGCCGGGGAGGAAGAAGGGGAGGGGAGGGCCGACGCCACCACCATGCCCCGCCCCTGGCCACCACCACCACCACCGCAGCCACCGGCCGGATCTGGGAGAGGGAGGGCCGGATCCGGTCGGGTGAAGAAGGGGGAGGGGAGGGGCGCCCGTCGGGGAAGAAGAAGGGGGAGGGGAGGGGCGCCGGTGGGGGAGAAGAAGGGGAGGGGAGGGTCGACGCCACCACCACGCCCCGCCGCTGGTCACCACCACCACCACCATAGCCACCGGCTGGATCCGGGAGAGGGAGGGCTGGATCCGGCCGGGTGAAGAAGGGGGAGGGGAGGGGCGCCCACCGGGGAAGAAGAAGGGGGAGGGGAGGGGCGCCGGGGGAGAAGAAGGGGGAGGGGAGGGCCACCGCCACCACCACGCCCCGCCGCCGGCCACCACCACCACCACCGCAGCCACCGGCCGGATCCGAGAGAGGGAGGGCCAGATCCGGCCGGGTGAAGATGGGGAGGGAGGGCACCTGCCGGGAAGAAGAGAGGGGAGAGGGGAGGGGCGCCGACGGGGGAGAAGAAGGGGGGAGGGCGCGGATCTGCTCGGTCGTCGGCGGCGACGACGAATCCGGATGCGCTGCCCGGGTGAAGGGTGAAGAGGGAGACGGATCCGACGTCGGGGGTGGAGGAGAGGGGCTATGCCCACCGCGTCGATGAAGAGGGAGAGGGAGGAGGGGAGGAGTGGCGGTGCTGCTTGGGGAGGGGAGGAGCCCCCGCGCTGAGTCGCAGAGGGAGGGGCGCGGCATTTAAAGGAGAGAGTGAGGGAGGGGGCGCGGTCTACCGTGTGCGAGAGAGGGTGTTTGTGGCGCGGCGGCCGGCGGTTTAGGGTTTGGATTCTTCTGTGCGTGTACATATTTTTTCTGTGCGTTTTTAAAGAACCGACACAATAAATTGCATTTTTCTGTGAGTGCTGATTTTTTCCGTGTGTGTATTGTCACGCATAGAAAAATCGGGTTTTCGTATTTTTCTATCGGGATATTTTGGAACCGACAGAAAAATCGTAATTTTTCTGTGCGTACCGAAAAAAACGCACAGAAAATTTTATCACCCACAGAAAAAGCGAGATTCCAGTAGTGCATGATGGCGGAGGCTTTTACCATGTTGAATGATATCAGAGAATGTGAAGTCAAAAGTGCTTTGAATCACCTGCCCTTTTGTGGTATTTAACTGGTGGTTGCTCAAAGCCCACTATTACAGTTTTTGCACGTTTTGAACATCAACTTAGGGACATGTTTTTCATGGAGATAATCATTGTCATGTGTTGGTATATTTTTGGTCAGTTCGAAATGATCAGATTTTCGGAGGAATTTGACCTCTGTTAATGGATGCATGCAACACATTTAATTTCCAGAAAGAGTTTGCTCATGTTATGTTCAAGGCCTAGGAGCTTTTCTGAAATGGTGTTCATCTTTTTGGTTTCCTTTTTAGATTCTTTATTGTTTTTCTAAAACCTAGTTCCCCTTTCTTATATATAAGATATATCCAGTAGGCGGAATGCCCACCTATTCACCAAAAAAGCAACAGTTTATTGCATTCAAATAAACACACGATCTCATTGTAAGTCTAGACTTCAGAAGAAGCAGCAGACTACATTGTGAATTACCTGCATTGTTTTGGCTTGAGTTTGCATAATGTAAAGGATGCTTGCAATAGGACATGTCATAATGATGCGCTTAACTTAGAAGGCATATTTTTCTCAAATAAATTTGCACAGTGTGCCAGAAGTAGTAGACAGATGTATCACTTGGTGTTGGAACAAAAATTCAAGTCTTTCAGATTACCCTTGTTTTGGCTGGACATGTCTGTGCCTGTTGTTAATATCCACAAATCTGTGAGGACATAAAAAGCAGCTTCAAGGCTCTGCTTTTCTTTCACATGGCATGTACAAGCTGAGATTGTAGCATGGTAGAAGACAACAACACAATAATCTCATGTAGTCTAATCCTCATTTCTTTTTTCATATGAAGGTTAGTGAATGTTTTTTAGGGTTCAATGGAGTAGGTAGTTTACTTAGTCGTACCAACTCGGGAAGGTTTACATGTAAACAGTGGATAAGAAATATCTCAAGACACCTCTCTTGTTCTTGTTTGAATAAAATGAAGGGAAAGGTTGATCTAGTAATCCACTTATAATACATTTTAGCATTGACACACATAGCAGAAAGCAGCAAGCCAGATGATCAGATGTAGGGGGGAGTTCAAGCATAGCCAGACATCTGAATCATTTCTGGATGTGAGAAAGACATGCAGAAAGGTATATATTATTGTGACGTTCAAGTGCAATCATTTCTCAGGACAAAAGCACCTAACAATGTTCTTGCCAAAAAAAAAATCCAAAAGCATAATTGAGGGTAATAGATTCATTTATACCCCCACAGCAACCTTGTTATAAAATCCAAGCTATTGGATGTAAAAAAAGTTTTTGATTCAAAAACTAAAGTTGAGCATTCCTCATAGCAGAATCTTTCATTTGGAATTTCGTCTTGGGATGTTGAAACTGATTAGAACACACAGGTCCTTCAGTGCTGCCATTGTGTTCTTCATCTACAGCAACCACAAGAAATAAAACATGAGCCAGAATTAGTTATAGAATTAGAGCAGATAATTAATTATAACCAGGGCATATGATTCCTTGAAAGGTATCAATGAAAGCTATCATATATATTTCTATCAATGTTATTCCTTGCAATACAAATTTCTGAAGCAAATAAGTCAGCATTTTAATGCCTTTCGAATTTTTACAGAAGCCAGTATGTGTGTCAAATGTAGTAGATAAATAGCAAATTTAGTCTAATACGATGACATAATTCATACTCATATCACACAAAATAGTATAATGCATGCTCATACCACAAATAAAATTCATCGTAAGAAGACTTGTAATATAACAAAGTAATAATCCATGTCTAATCTAGAGATGCAGAAAGTACTTATCGGTTTTTTCACACTGCAGGATTTCATATTGTGAAGTAGTGTAACATAAGAGTAATTGATTAGGATCATAGAGACAAAAAAAAATTCATGGTTGCTTGCAAAACATGCATTAATTTTTACTCATGGGACAATACTAAAGCTAGATAAATTGTACAGATTCACCAATAAGACAACCAGTAAAAGAAAGATATATTTATATTGCTGAATTTTCGTTTAGACTTATTCAGCCATAAAACTAGAACAGAAAACCATTTGTAATAGAAGTAACACAAATTCCTAGAACAATAGTAATAGGACATTAAAACACATAAATATTACCGTGGGGTTTGCTTCTCACTTTCATTTTTTTCACATTGTTTCCTTTGATTGTTGCTTCAATAACCTTATTCCCCTTGGACATCAAAAACTTCTTTATCTCATCCTTGGGGATTCTCTTTCTAATATTTGTTGGATCTGGCTCCTCATGATGAGCCTTTCCTCTAATAATGTTATGCTCCATAGTTGTATTTCTTTTTTGTACATCAAAGCTACCCTGAAGATTGTTTCTATGTTTGCCTCCAGCCTGTGTTGCATGGATCTCCCTTTTTACCTTCTTTCGGAGAGAAGTCTCCACAGTTAGTGTCATTTTGCTAGGTTCCACCATGGTCCCTGGAGATGAAACAATTGCTCCAGAGTGAACATTCTCTGTAGTGGTTGCACGTTGGTTTCGAGGTCTTGATACTTCAGTGGCTTTGAATGTTTCACTGCATTGAAGGCAAGAAATATTGCAACCAAGATACTCTATGGAATGTTTGTTCTTTTTCTTGCAATTTGCACATGCTGTCCAGAACGTTCGACGTTCGCGTTCTGCACGAAATGGACCAGGAACTGGATTGCCTGGAGCAGCAAGGGCGCATACAATAATTTTTGTGTCTCCTCTGAGATCAATCGTGTCTGGAACATGATTTGTTGGAAAAGGGCTTGATGGCATGGGATGGTACTGCAGGGGCAAATGAAGTAGGGACAGCAGTAGTAACAGAACCAGCTTGTTGCTCCATTTATATCAAGTGTCTTGAAGAACAATCCTTCCCTCAGTTCAGGGCATGCAATAAACAAAACTGGATGGATTCAACAATGGAAAGAAATTAGATAGATGGTAAACACATAACATACTTTCTAAATGCAAAGCAATTGAAACTTAATGATTCTATAAATATATCATATAGAAGAGGAATTATAAATTTTATGGGTATCAAAGGTGACCCAAATTTCATTTTCTTCAGTTTCATTGATTGATATTCGTAATCCACGTAGAAAAGGTCATACGTACAGGCAAATAAATAGACCTAGAAAGGACTATGATCTAAGATCAAGTAGGAACATTTGTAATATATTGGATGACCTCATGCATATCCACCATGCATATAAATGGCATAGAAATAGAAAATAAATTATGTAGGAAGCAAGCTAAGTGTGGATATAATATCTAAGAATTCCTTTACTTACTAACCTCTCCTCTATTGTTTCACTTGGTTCTAGAGACCATCTTGCAAATAGTTTTTTGCCGCTTCTTCCGATCCTGTTACATTTAAAGACAAGTAGAATGTAAAGGATATTAAAAGGCATATATAAACAAGGAAGAATATGCATGGGAGAGCCTGTATCTTCTATTAAAAATTTTGAATGAGCACCAAATGTGTATTCCAGAAATATACCAGTCAATTATCCCACAGTAGGCGTAAAAATACATCTTAATCTACCTAATTTTTCAACAAGCAAACGTATAATAATAATAATGGTACAAATTCAAATAAATTGTAATGGTTTTCACTTTTCATGTGACAGAAACTAGCAAGGATATATCTCAGCATGCATGCACACAGAGGGCACATTATACAATGGAAATCAACAAGGCATTTGTTGTTATTGGCAATATTAAGCCAAAAAATAGAAAAATCTGAACCATCTTCCTTGAACAAACAGCATAGTGTGAACTCAGATCAATATATCACAATATCTGCACAGGCTAATATCTTTTACTGAATTTGTGGAGCTACTGACATTTGCTGTTTGTTAATTAAAAGATCTTGATGCAGTGCACATTTTTATGAAGGATTTCACTGCCATCCAGCTAAGTTTTTAGTGACTTAATAATTATATGTGTTTACAAATGTTCTAATTAAATTCTAAGTGGAAAACATATATTCTTCCAGAGACATCTGATGGTAAAACTGAATTCTAGATACTATACATGCTACCGGCATATATAAGAAGGTCTGTGACGATGAAAACTATGCAATGATTATAGACGAAAAGGCTTTTCCAAACATTATCCAGAACAATATTACTAAATGAAACGGATTTTCCTATATTGTGCACCGATGGTAGCTGGAGAAATGATTGAATGTTTCATCATAAATCAAGAATTATTTTGTCTCTGATTCTGTTATTGCTCCCTCCTGTTCTATATCCTTTATAATGCCATATAATAATTTATTAATTGTACATATAGGTATTTGAAATAAGTCATACAAACTAGAAGAACATGAATATAATATGCATCTAAGCACAAGAAAAAATTGCTTAAAGTAAGCATTCCATAAACTAATGGATTCTTCTTGGCTACATAGACGAAAATAAACTTATTAGTAATTAATAATGCAAACAGCCAGGTTACACATCATAAGTACAACGTGAAATAATGAGTAAAAATAAAATTATATGCATGCTAAGTTGTTGTGGCTATACTGATGTTTAGCATGGAGGCTACAAGGACATAGCTCATGTATTTGATGTGATATCGAGTGGATACTTCGAAATGAACTTTTGTGTATAGGATCTAGTATTAGGGATCAAATTCCATTTTACATGTTTTTCCATTACATATGGAATTAGTGATACTAGTAAATTCTAGGTCACTCATTCTCGAAGTATGGTAAAACTAGTCAAATCAACCTAACAGACTGAACAGGCGACCAGGGTGTGATTGGTTCCCTGTGTGGCCTAACCTGGGATGTGGGGTGGAGCCAGGAGGTGTTTCGTTTCCTGGTTGTCTAACTGATCCGGGCCAGCAGCTTGCTCCTCGACTTTTGCAGGATTATTCGAATTTTGCCCCTAGATATGGTCCCAGAGGAGACAAGTTCAATTTGCATGGGCATAGCTGGCTTGCGCACGCCGGGGCAGAGTCGTCCCTTGATATGTGCCGCGGCGCCAGAGACACCGAGGCCTGCATGCTGCAGGAGCAGTCATGGCCCTAGACGGCTTCCTCCCTGGTGATTGCCCTGTGTTCCAGCCACTGAGAATGTCCTGACCGATGACTCCAACGCCGCCTTGGGCCGCTCATCGGGATGGCGTGCGAGAGCTACAGACAGCTGTCGAGATCACTGACCGCAATGTCCTGCTGATATCCTTCATGTGCAGATCTTTCTTTTTTATTCCTCACCTCTCCACCATTGTTGCTTGAGCTCTCACGGTAACAAGTCCCCGGCCCTTGTCTGTGTGCAATATCTGTTGCCATCTGCATTGATTGTCCTTCGATCTTTATAATTTTGTTTATGCAGAGTTGGTAAACAAGTTTGAATGTGGAATTTTTTGATGAAAAGAACATCACAACTGTAACTGAGCACGTGATGAGAAATATGTTGGTAACATTCTGAACATTCTCTCTAGGGAATGTGCAATGATGACTTAGTAACTATTTTTTGAGGCAATATGCTTGCGTAATGATGATTACTTATGATGGAGGATGTGAGATGATGATCTATTTTTGTGAGGTGCTATATTATATTGGGCACCATTATTATCATTCATTTCGGCTGATCCATTTATTCTCATGTATATGATAAAATTGTCTATATCCATTTATCATATGGAATATGAGCTGATGATCGGGATCTTGTGAAGAACATGGCATCATTACATTTTCATGTTATCGTCTTTGCTTCTTTGTTGGTCTACCTTTCCTTCAAGTACTATTCTTTTATAGGCCAGTGCCAATCATGCCATTTTCCATCTGTTCTAATGACTAGATGCCCCCAAGACCTGCGTGAAAGTCCCATCATTGTTGGGTGCCATCTGAGATCTGATATCTTGGGGTCAGAGAAGGGATGTCCTCAGCATTGAGGAACATTTGCTAGGGTATGTCTCGTTCAGATCATGAGTTCAAACAAATAATAAAAATTTTGAAGTATCCATGATCAGTACTAATGAATATAGGAAGTTTTATCCTGGATTTCTATGGTATATGGATGACTTGGCTTCTTTCTCAAGTAAGCACTTGGCATACTTGTTATCCTTGGGGCTTGCTCCTTCCTATTTAAGTTATTCTTTCTTTGTTACTCTCGTAATGACGTTCCGAAAGAAATCAAGGTTACCAGGTCACAACTCTGATTCTTCCTCCTCCCTTGTAGAAATCAGTAGCTAGGGTGGGTCTGCCCCATCTTTCTTTTTTAGTAAACAACTCTATTGAGAAAGCTAGCTCTTTCTTGATCGAAGTAAACAATCGTTGTAGTTCCTCTTTAGGCAAGCTACTTCGTTCCTATTGTTCTTATTTTCCAATTCTGAATAGGATCAGGGAGTTTAGAGGAGTAAATAGGCAGGACAAAGGCGGCTTAGAGGAATGGCCAAAGGAACTAATGCGGTTGTTGTCCTTCTTTTTGCATTCCTCATTTTCTGTTCTAGCTTTAGCTTTAGTCATTTCATCAAGTCTGTTCTATGCTTCATTGCCCCTTCTCACTTCACTATATCGGTGGGTGGTATCACAGCATACTCTCTTTCTTCTTTAGTTTTACGAAGGAGTTTTGAATGATGCACTTTGTTCCGTAATTTCATTCAACAGATCCTAAGGAAAAGAGTTGGGTTTTCACCGAGAGCTGAAACACATAACATAAAACCTGAAGTTTTTGTTTGTTTGATTTGAGAACCCTTTGCGCAAATGTCATTATCCTGACAGCAGCAAGAGGAACTATCAGCCCAAAGCTAATAGAAGAACGGATAGAGATTGGGTACCGGAAGAGATTATGAACGGCCCAATGCCGTTGACAACGATTTTGATGTCAACAAAATCTAAGGAGACTCTAAAGAATGATGAGCATAGGATGTCGTTACATCAATTGGATGTCAACAATGTTTTTCTGCATGGTGACTTTGAAGAGCCGGTTCACATGCTTCAACCACCGGGTTTGACTGATCCAACCATGGCCCAAGCTCTTGTGATTGGTCTACTAGGCAGGTGGAATGGATCCTTAGCAGGTTCAGCGATCCAAGGCGCCAGTAAATAGAGCTTGAGTTATGAAGTTTTTCGCAGATACCCGTGTTGCCTCTTCCTTTGCTTAGTACACTCGCACAAGAGCATCAATGTTGATGTGCTTTGTCAAATCTCTTTAGCTTTCTTGCCTTAAAAACCATTACCACCACCGAGATCGATCCCAATGTCTCCTTTCAAGAATAGCACTCTTCAAATAGGAATCCATGGTTTTCGTGCTTTGGTCAGTCATCCAAACCCAAAGCAAAGGCAATAACCTATTTCTCTTGGGCCCTACTAGTCATGTTTGCATCCTCTTTTCCTCTCTGTTCTAGATGTCAATTGAGTTTAACTAAAGGTATGGCTCCTTGAATGAGGCTATAATGGTTGCTCTCCTCAACCAACCAATCACAACTAAATATAGGGTAAATGGAGCACCATGATTTCTTGGCATGAATTAGGGCCTATATTCCAACTTTATGTGATGCGTCTGTTTTCCAGTAATGCCAAATCCGGCCACACAACCATGTCGTACCTATTGGACCTAAGAAATATGCTAGGAATGTTACCAAACACTTCGGAACCAAATATGTCTGGACTAGAGACATAATAAAATTAAACAAAATCACATAAATCTAGCGATTTGACATCTAAGCTGTCACAATCTAACTGTGAAAAAAATGAATTTCTATCCTATAGGTGCTTGTTTTTTCTCACTTTTTTTAGGCAACGAATGCAACATCCAATCT